TACTGCATTTTGTGTTTTCATAACTTGCATGATTTACACATGATATTTAATATGAATATATTACCGATTATTTTGAGTTGCATGTGGGACAAGTATTTTACTCGATATGTTACCGAAATAGTTAGTTGAGATGATTATCGTTGTTTTAACTATTTACGTTGTCACTAGATCTGTTTTACCGTTACTTGAATTTACTGTTATCTAAATGAAATTATATGATTTGATAAGAACCGAAATGCCCTATATTGTTTTAAAATATTTTCTACGAGTATATACGGATTACAGAGACGAGTATAAATGAGAGTAGACATCGAAGGATCCCGTAGCTAACGGCGGGTTCATTAGACCTGGTGCACCTTATAATTATCGATTACCGTTATAGCCCTCGCTAGTGGGAAGGTAGAACTAGCATACTGTTACCGATTTTCCTCGAGTAGGGACTATTGTTATATTTGACTTCTTGCGAAGAAGTCCACAGTTATACCGATTACATGATCCGTTCATTAAAACCTCCCAAACATGAATATTGATATTACACAGTATTTACCCAAGCTTATTACCGAATTGTCAATTGATTTATATTACATGAAAAATATGATGAGACTGATTATTTTTTATTATTTCTGAAAAGGCATTTTTATGATATTTTCTGTTTAATATACTATTATGTTTTCTGACTTGTCCCCAATAAAAATGGTTGTGGTTAAGTGTTATTACTCACTGAGCTAGCGACTCATTCCTCGCTAATTTTTTGTACAGAGACACCAGTTGACGCGGGCGAGTATTTTGTTAATTAGAGCGCACAGATTGATAGTTCTTGGTGAGCCTCACACTTGTTCGCGTGGGCGGAGATTTTATTTATTGTTATGGCCTTTTCTTTGAACTCTTAGAGTCGCTCCATAGTCATTCTTTTAGTGTCTTGAGTATTCTTTTGTTATTATAAACTTATGTTGAGTATCACTCATTCTTATCAAAGTTGGAGATAAAGTAGTATTTCTAGCTGTTAGTGAGTGAACTATTAATGGTAGATATTTGTTTTGGTTAATTGATAAAGTCATTGTCGTTTGAATTGATATTAGGATGTTTGGTTGTTTATTTGAGACATGGAAATTTTTGGGATAGTCCAAATACAGGGGAAACACTGTTCGATTTTCTGTAAAATACTGATGAGGCTTACTTGGGGGCACTTGCTCCTAAGTGCCGGTCATGATCCTAAATTGGGTCGTGACAAAGTTGGTATCAGAGCCCTAGATTATTCTTGTGACTAATGGAGCATACGTCGTTAGTAGAATCTCAATTATGGTTATGTAGCCGGCCATTTCCATAATCGTGATTCTGCGAGGGCGTGATAGGATGTGTCTTGTCTTTCTTTCTTATTCCTCCATACATGTGTGGAGATTAGGGCCAAATAATTGAATCTGTCATTACTTATCCTATTCGTGTATGGCTCGGACCAATTACCCTATAATAGAATTTGGCTAGAGGTACAAACTTCAAAGACGGCAAATTTCGCCAATGGACATGCAGCCATCTCCAAGCAAAGAAATGCTACATAAGTAGAATACAAGACCAGTGAAAGGTTCATTGTGCCATATGAGGTGCTTTCCGGTAAGATGCGTAATAGAGTCCATTTCGAAAATTTATACTAGTCCACCACTACAGTGATAAAGGAGTGCTATCACAAAAAGGTACTTACCTCCATAAAAAAAATTGAGATCTTTATGGATAAAATAGATAAACATGAGAAGAATGAGCAACAAAGTATGGGCTCTAAAGTCCTCATGCACCTTGAAGATATGGGGAACAACAAAATATTCTTAATAAAATTCCTAAAGTTGAAACTACTAAGTTTACTATTTCTGATAATTCAAAGGATCCTTAAAGGTTTTAGTAAAATACTTACCACGTTATGAGCTATAGGATATTTCATGAAGAGGTCTATGGAACATGCAACTTTTAGACTAGAGAACATGGCGAATACATGAAATGCTACAATACTCTTAGAGATGCCAACAAAAGCAACACAACTAATTTGGGAATAATTTCACTAAAGTGCTTATGAATCACTTTCTTCTTGATAGTTTGTGACGTAAACTTGCCTGCTAGATCATTTAAGAAATTGATTTAGACGTTGGGTATACTTACATATAACACCAAACTTTCTCAGCTGGATACGCAAGCAACATCTTAAGTTTAGAGGCTTATTGAAAGGTTGGTTAATTGTTTAAACAAGATAGTAATTGCATATATGAAGACTTAAACCTATTCTGTAGCAGTTACACTTACCAGAAAGATTGAAAATATGGACATGATAGGCGTGCAAGAACTAACATAAGAAGATCGAGATTAGAATATCTTTTAGTATGGATTATAATATGAGTCGAAGATTTAAAAATCAAGAATGTTTTGAGATATTAAGCGATCCTTTTCGGGTTGCCACATTTGTGAAAAACTTATAGTAGTTAGACATGTGTTTAAAACTTTTAAGATTCAAGTTAAGAGAAATAAACCCCAGCTAACCAAGTTGTACTTGATATGGCTGACTCTAACGTACAAATGGATATGGATTAATTATCTTCTTACCATGCTACCCTCGATTACTATGGAAAGACTATTAGGTTTGGTGAACTTTAAAAGCTAGTTTTGTCCAAAAAGGGGATTATAGGTTTTAGAGACGAGCAAATTATAAATTTTGAAGACTTAACGGTTATAGAAAAAAGGTTGTTTGGATCTCATAGATACGGTAAGGGGCACAAGAGAAGAAACACTTAGTTTGAGAAAAAAAAAAGAAGTATCATAATGAGAGATTCTCTAATGTATTCCTAAAGATTTACTAGGACTACCTCCAATATGAGAAATAGACTTCAGTATTGAGCTGACACCTGACACACAAACTATATCATATGGCACCAAAGAGTTGAGAGAGCTAATTGAATAATTGAGACACCTACTGGATACAGATTTTATCACACCGAGTGTTGCACCATGGGGTACATCAATATTGTTTGGAAAAAAGGGGATGAGTCTTTAAGAATGTGGGCCAACTACAGATAATTAAATAAGATAACAATACACAACAAATATCCCTTGTCTTGTATAGATAACTTATTTGATCAGTTACAAGGAGCCATTGATCTTTAGTCTGGTTATCATCAACTTAAAATAATAAAGGAAGATATTTCGATGTTGCCTCTAGTACTCGGTACAAACATTATGAGTTACCTGTGATGTCCTTTAGATTGGCCAATGCTCCAATTGTATTGATGTATATAATGAATATGGTGTTCAAAAGTTGTTTTTGGAAAGAATTTTTTTTAAAATAGTTTTTACTTACTATTTTCTGGTATATTCTCGTACCCGGGAAGAGCACGAGAATTACTTGAAAAATATGTCAAAAATACTGCAGGAAAATCAACCTTTTTTTTTTCCAAATTCTTCAATTAGATGGACTCGATGGTATTCATAGGACACATGGTATCTAAGAATAAAAAATGGTAGATTCTAAGAAGATAGAAATAATTCATAAATGGCCGAGATCCATTTCTCCTACAGAGATTACTTTTGGCTTGACTGGCTACTATATGCATTTGTGTAGGATTTCATTAGAATATCACCACCACTCACCAAGTTAACATAGAAAATCGCTAAATTTCAGTGGATGGAGAAATATACAACGAGAAAGCATGTTTGACAATTACACTAATGTTAGCCTTATTCCAATAGGCTCTAGAGGATTCACGATGTTATGTGATACTTCGAGGGTAGGATTAAGATATTTTCTCATGCAAAATAGTCGCGTGATAGCCTATGCTCTAAGGAAATTGAAGAAGCTCAATTCATATTATGCCATTCATGATTTGGAGATGGTCATAGTGGTATTTCCTTTTAAGATTTAGAGACAATATTTATACGAAGAAACCTATGAGATTTATACTTAGCACAAGAGCCTAAAGTACACTTAAAACCAACAGAGATATAAATATTTAGTAATGCTAATAGAGGGACTACTGAAGATATAATTGTACTATTTTGTATTGTTCGGGGAAGATAAATATTATAGCTTATGCAAAAAAAGAAAACTATGGGTGATTTGGCGCATATAGCTCTTGTAGAGATACTTTTGGATGAAGATATGCATAGACTAGAGGGTACAAGTATTAGATTCAATATGGCAAAAAAAATTCAAAGACATTATTGGCTATTGGCCAAGCCCGATGTAGAGTGTATAAAGGATAGCCAATATTTAATTACCGAGATTAGTTTCTAGCTGGTAAAGGCAAGGATATGACTGTTAATAGTGAGGGTATTCTCCGACTAGGTAATTAATTATGTGTAGCAAACATATATGGGTTGAGACAAGCTATTCGTGATGGAGCTCATAACTCTAGATACACTGTATATCTCAGGTCTATAAGATGCACCATGACAAAAAAAAAATGATTGGTTGGAAAAGAAAGAAAGAAAAAAAGATTTGTTAACTTTGATTCTAACTATTTGACATATCAGTATGTTAAGGCAAGCACTTGCGACTCACAGGCCCACTAAAATAACTCAAGATTCTGAAGTGGAAATACAATAGAACAATACATTATATGACTAAATTACTCAAACAATTAGAGGTATGATTATATATGGGAAAGTTGTAAATTGGCTTACAAAGTAGGCACGTTTCTTCCTAGTTAAAACCTCTTATACTGAGGTAAAATATGCATAGATATACATGAACATAAAATTATCTGACTCAATAGAGCTCTATTGTCCATCCCCTCTAATAGAGGATCACATTCACTTCACAATTTGAAAATCTTTTCAAGAAATGTTGGGTACACGAGTAGATCTTAGTACTAGTTTTATCGCACGGAAATGCAAAGTCCGAATATGCTATACAGATCTTGGAGGATATGTTGAGAGATTGTATTCTTGAGTTTGGAGGTAGTTGGGACGCTTATCTACCTTTAGTTGAATTTGCTTACAACAATAGCTTCCAGCCCAGTATTCAGATGGCATCGTACGAAGCATTATATGGTAAAAGATATTGTTCTCCTATTGGAGGGTTTGAAGCTGGTGAGGTTAACTTATTGGGACCCGACTTAGTACAAGAAGCTATTGACAAGGTCCAATTGATCAGACCGCGATTGCTCACAGTTTAAAGCAGACAAAAATCTTATGCGGATAAGAGAAGAAGAGACTTAATGTTCACAATTGGAGATAGAGTGTTCATACATGTATCTCCTATGAAGGGCATGATGCGATTCGGGAAAAGAGGTAAGTTGAGCCCGAGGTTTATAGGTCAGTATGAAATACTTGACCGAGTGGGAGCTGTGGCATATCATTTGGAACTTTCTCTTTAGTTATCTTATATTCACCCAGTGTTTCATGTCTCCATGCTTGAAAAATAAATTGTATATCAGACTCCTCCCAAGTGCTTGAAGCACCTACTATACCACTCGATGAGAAGTTGTCTTACGAGGAGGAGCCGATGGCTATTGTCGATAGACAATTGAGGAAGTTACAGTCAAAAGAAATTGTGTTCGTTAAAGTCTTATGGAGAAATCATACTGTTGAAGAAGCTACATGGGAAATAGAAGATGCTATGCGAGTCAAGTATCCTTATTTATTTCAGTCTACAGGTACGTACCTGAGCTAAATCCGGAGACCGAATTTCATAAGGTAGGGAGAATGTAATACTCCTCATTATAAAAAAAAGGGCAATTAAGTAATTTATCAAAAAAATACAATATAAGATGAAATAGGGGCAAAGCCCTACGCTAACAGAAACAAAAGAATAAAGGGCCGAAGCCCCTTTCTCTGGCCAAAATAAAAAAGAAAGAAAGGGAAAAGGTTGCTGCGTAAAACTAAACCAGAAGCAAAAAAGGGATTTTGACGGATCAAGGGTTAAGGCAAAAATCAAAAATACAGAAGGTGAGTTGGGGAAAAGGCTTGGTGCCGCAAAAGAAGCCACTTCCAGCCATTATTTGTTCAAATCTTAAAGTACTGTATTTCACAAATTTGAGAATATATTTTAATGGTTATAGTTAAATAAGGAGATTGGCAAAAGTCAGTGAAACAAGGAAAGATATGTATAATTTTTGTTAATCTTTAGCAATATGTTAAGGAATCTTAAGTACTAATTGTGTCTTACGGGTATTACTTGAGCTTCTTCTTCTGGTAGATTTTAATTTCGATTCTCATGATTGGAAGATTCTACAGAGTAATAGAAATTACACTAGTTCATTCACGCAATTGAGAATTTTCTTCCTAAAGAATCAATAGAACTTTATGAAATTGGATTAATAAATTATATGAATAGATTGGAGTTGATAGATTAGTAATTACTCATATGTGGATAAATATAATTCAGCGAGTTAAGAGTCAAATATGAAACCTCGAGGGTTGGGTATTCTAAATTAGCTATGAATTAGCCTGAACAAGGAAATTAACATGAGATCGATATTATGTAATTATAGATTGATTGGAGGAATTCGTACGAATTGCTCGAGGTGAAGCATTTGGTATTTCGGCACGAGTACTGTGAGTAGTAATCTTATTGCATTTTGTATTTTCATAACTTGCATGATTTACATATGATTTTTAATATGAATATGATACCGATTATTTTGAGTTGCATGTGGGACAAGTCTTTTACTCAATATGATACCGAAATAATTATTTAAGATGATTACCGTTGTTTTAAATATTTTCGTTGTCACTAGATCTGTTTTACTATTACTTGAATTTACTGTTATCGAAATGAAATTATATGATTTGATAAGAACCGAAATGCCCTATATTGTTTTAAAATATTTTGTACGAGTATATACGGATTATAAAGACGAGTATAAATGGGAGTAGACATTGAAGGATACCGTAGCTAACGGCGGGTTCGTTAGACCTGGTGCACCTTGTAATTACCGATTACCGTTATAGCCCTCGCTAGTGGGAAGGTAGAATTAGCATACCGTTACCGATTTTCCTCTAGTAGGGACTACCGTTATATTTGACTTCTTGCGAAGAAGTCCACAGTTATACCGATTACATGATCCGGTCATTGAAACCTCCCAAACATGAATATTGATATTACACAATATTTACCGAGCTTATTATCGAATTGTCAATTGATTTATATTACATGAAAAACATGATGAGACTGATTATTGTTTATTATTTCTGAAAAGGCATTTTTATGATATTTTCTGTTTAATATACTAGCATGTTTTCTGACTTGTCCCCAATAAAAACGGTTGTGGTTAAGTGTTATTACTCACTGAGCTAGCGACTCATTCCCCACTAATTTTTTTTACAGAGACAGCAGTTAACGCGGGCGAGAATTTCGTTAATTAGAGCGTACATGTTGATAGTTCTTGGTGAGCCTCACACTTGTTCGCGTGGGCGGAGATTTTATTTATTGTTATGGCCTTTTCTTTGAACTCCTAGAGTCGCTCCATAGTTATTGTTTTAGTGTCTTGAGTATTCTTTTGTTATTATAGACTTATGTTGAGTATCGCTCATTCTTATCAAAGTTGGAGATAAAGTAGTATTTCTAGCTGTTAGTGAGTGGACTATTAATGGTAGATATTTATTTTGGTTAATTGATAAAGTCATTGTCGTTTGAATTGATATTAGGATGTTTGGTTGTTGATTTGAGACAGGGAAATTTTTGGGATAGTCCAAATACAGGGAAAACTCTATCCGATTTTCTGTAAAATACTGATGAGGCTTACTTGGGGGCACTTGCTCCTAAATGACGGTTATGATCCTAAATTGGGTCGTGACACCATGGGTGCAAGTATCATGGTGCCATGATACTTGAATATTTGATTGGGATTTCTCTGGGCTGGATCGCACTGTAGAGGTCGAGGCCATTTAGTATCTTTGATGCGTCCGATAGCTGACACGATGGTGGATGCATCAATGTTGAAGTTATATTCTGATAACTACGGTGCTTCCTTAGGTCCAGTATGTCTGTCGAACCCATTCTTGTTCATCAGCCCTCGAGACCCTTGGCCTCGATCATTTCTCCTTTTGCCTCGTACGAGGTTGCGTCCCGGTTCGTTACCCCTATGATCTCCGTTATACGGCTGGTATTGGTCCCTGTTTGACCTTGGTTCTCGGTCGATGTCCCTTTTAATAACGGACTCAGAACCCAACTGGTCGTCTTCGACTCTAATCTTCGATTGATAATGATTATGTACATCGGCTCAGGTAACAGCCGAGTACTCGATCAAGTTATGCTTCAACTATCGTGAATCCATTGAGCTTCGTTCGTTCAGTCCTTGGGTGAAAGTTTGAACGGCCCAATCGTCCATGACCGGTGGTAGATCCATTCGTTCCATTTGGAAACGAGATACGAACTCTCTTAGCATCTCGTTATCTTTTTGCCTTACCTTAAAAAAGTTCGACTTCCTAGTTTCGACCTTTATGGCTACGGCATGTATTTTTACGAAAGAATCTGCAAGCATAGCAAAAGAATCGATAGAGTTAGGCGGTAAATTATGATACCATATCATTGCTCCCTTTGACATAGTTTCCCCGAACTTCTTTAATAATACGGATTCGATCTCGTCGTCTCCTAGATCGTTCTCTTTAATGGCACATGTGTAAGAGGTGACATGTTCGTTGGGGTCGGTCGTTCCATTATATTTAGGAATTTCGGGCATGCGGAACTTCTTGGGGATCGGTTTTGGAGCTGCGCTCGGGGGGAAGGGCTTTTGTACGAATTTTTTGGAATCCAAGCCCTTCAATATTGGTGGTGCCCCCGGGATCTGATCAGCCCTGGAGTTATAAGTTTCCATTTTTTTTGTCGTTTGCTTCAATCCTCTTTTCTCCTGACTCTATTCGTTTTGTCAGTTCCTCGAGTATCTTAATAATTTCGCGATTAGTCCCCGGTTCTTGTTCATTTGGCCTTACTACAGCTGTTCCCGTTTTGTGGGTGACTTCTCGGGGTGGACCGTGCTCGGGCCTGCTCGGTGCTTTGATTTGGCTCTGCAACTGAGCTATCGCTACTTGTTGAGCTTGCAACATTTCAAAAATTATACGCAGGCTGATCCCGTCTTCTCCAACATTTTGGGTATTTCGAACTGCAGATCGAGTTCCACCATGAATGTTGTTTTCGGGGTCGGAACGTTGGTTCGCCTCAATGTCCACATGTGAATTAACGTCAATTGGATCTACGACCCGAGTTCCAACGGGGTCGACGAGTGGCCTTTCATCCTCGGGCGTCAGGTTGTTATTCTCATCTTGAAGGCTAACTTCGTTGTCAATAGGTAGGGCCATTAATTGAGAGTTCGTCATTTTTAACCTAAAATCAAAGACACTTCTAAGAGCAAGTGTAAAATAGTATATTTTACAGAGATTCGTACCAAATAACCACTATTATCCTTAGCCCCACGGTGGGCGCCAAACTGTTTACCCGAAAAATGGATAGAGTTAAATTTATACGTAGTACTAAGGATACATAGTATAATTTAGTACAAATTGGAAAAATAAGTAAAGATATATCGAACTTTAACTGTAAAAAGAATAAATACAAACCCACATTGAATAAAGAGTGATTGATAAGAGAACAAGATGAATCAATATCAAAGCCCAAAAAGGATAATATTTGCTAGATGTTATGTAAATCTCAGTAATTCTGAATGTGTGAATGAATCAATGCTTTTTTTTTACAGATGATAACCACTCTTAATATAGTGGGGGAATCCTACTTTGGATATAATTAAAAATATATAGTGAGGATCTCATGATAGATTAGTTAATAAGCTTTTTCTTGATTCAAGCCTTGATTTCTGCCGAGATTCTCTCCCAAAATGCAGCTATAATGACTTTTTTGTTCCTTGGCTCGGTCTCGATCTTGGCCGGTCTCTGAGTCTCGAGTTCGATATTGATTCGATCTCAGTATTAATCGGTCTCTAGGTTTCGAGCTCGATATTGGTTCGATCTCGGTATTGATCGGTCTGTGGGTCTCGAACTCGACAACCTAACTTCACATCACAATTCGATATTATAATGACGAACATCGATCTATCATGCTCCAATCTTGATTAATAACACGAAGGACAAACTCGATTTTGACCGTATACACAAACGCTATAATATCAACAATGTCGATTTATACAAATTCTAATACTCCCCTTTTCCTATTTAGCTGTCATAATGTCATGTATACTATAGAGTAAAAAGTAGTTGTTTAAATTAATTAAATTTTTTCAACTTTGTCCTTAGCGTTAATTGTTCTAGAATCAAGAAGGCACGTGAATAGACAAAGATCAAACAATTAATAAGGGACAAATGAGTCAAATTGCATTGCTAACTACGTCGTATAAAAGCTTATCCTACCAACTGAATGAGAATGGAGGGAGTAAATTTCTTGTGCATTCAGCCCAATATCACAAGTAAACAATAAAAAACACAAACAAGTGCAAGAATCTCTTACTAAATTCAACCTGTATCAATAACATATATGGGTACTAATTATTTTCTCTTATATATATAAACACGTTAAATTTATATACTATGCATTATAATTGGTAGTGCTTTAAATCTTTGAATTCGACAGCGAATCAACATGCATTTAAACCATAATAAAAGATGTGGGCAAGTGGGAGGAGCTCATACAGTCACAAACTCAATC